GGAAGAAGTGAGAGAAAGGGATGTAAGAGAGAGGGAGAGAGAGGAGGGACGCGAGGGAGGAGGAGACAGGGAGGAATGAAAACACAAGAGAAGAGGAGCGAAGGGAGGGGAGGCAGGAAGGGAACACCAAGGGAGGAAAGGGGGAGACAAAGAGGGGGGAAAGGGGGAGAACACAGGGGGGAAAGGGAGGAGATGGAACGATTAAACAAAGGGGAGCGGAGAGGGGGGGAGTGGCGTGTCCCCCTACAGGCGGATTTTGGGGAAACAATGAGAAATACTTAAAAAATACTCCAAGAATGCTCAAACATAATCAAAACATAGTCCCCGGACTATGTTTTGACTATGTTTGAATATTCCTCCTGTAGAGGGACACGCCCGACTTAACCATAGGGCTAACTCACGTTGTCTGCCATGCTGGGCCCCATGTGATTGCACGAATCCCCGGGCTCGCCACTCAGCAGCATCAGCAGAAGCACGAACTGTCGGAGGTCCGCGCGCGGGTCACGTGGTCGGCGCCGTGGCGCGTGGAGCGCGCCGGGGGCGCCGCCAGGGGCGCCGCCAGGGGGGCCGCCAGGGGGGCCAAGCGCCGCTCCAAGAAATCCTCCCAGACTTCCGAAACTAGATCCGGGCTTGTGCGGGTGCCTCTTCCCCCGGTCCTTCCAGCATGCTGGACGCGCGGAATGGGTACCAGAAGAAGGGCGTACAAGAGGTCAAACCACAAACGGTGTCCACAACCGACAGCGGCAGCTCATGGCCAGGCGGCCGTCCGTCTCCAACGAAGAACGCCCGCGGCGGCACTCGCGGCGGCACCGGACAGCGTGGACAACAGCTGCTGCCGGTATTCGCACCCCTCCTTTCTCCACCCAGTTCGCTCGTAGCTGGTACCGAAACGTCCTCGATCCTCGATTCTCCGTCGATCCTGATGCCTCCTCCAATCCCCTGCCCTGGGTGGCTCGAAGACGGGCATGAGAGCCCAGAATCGAATCGATAAGTCGGATCGGCAATCGAAATGAATCGGATCGGCGGAAATCGGTAGCCGAGTCGGGAAAAGTCGAATCAGACATCGGCAAACTAGCAGGCCTCCATCGAGAACTCGGAGCCCAACTCGGAATCCCAAGCCAAATCGAATCGGAATCGGAACCAGTCTAAATCGAATCGAATCGAATCGAATCGGAGGAATCGAAATGCGCCCCAGAAAACGGGCGGGCAGCTGGCCTGAACTGCCACACGGGGCAGAGGGGGTTGCCAAAGCACGCGCTCTGGCACTCCTCCACGGTGCCCTCGTCGCTGTGGTCCAGCCCCATGCACTGGGCGAAGGGAGGGGGGGAGGAGGAGCCGAACCGCCAATACAGCGCCCGTGCATCGCCGGAACGTCGGCAACAACGGCGATGCATCGGCTCGGCGGCGGGCGATGGGGGGAAGTGAGAAGGAGAAGGCCCTCTCAGAAGGCGGCGGGGCTTCTCAGAAACCCTCTGGCCTTCTGAGAGGCTCTGTCTTCGGGGAAGGCCTAGGAAACTCATCAGACGGCAAGGAGACTTCCAGGCTTGTTGACAAGGCCCGAACCCTCTCGCTTCCCCCCGCGGGCTGGCCGCCGATGCATCGCCGCTGCAGCGCCAATGCGTCGGCAACGTCGGCGATGCATCGACGACGTCCGCGAACCGGCGGCTCCAAACGGCGTGGCTTGCACAGGCTGTGGTTTGCAACGGGCACTCTGGGGGCACCCTGGGGGGGCGGGGGAGATCTCGATTGAGTTCTCTGCCGCGCCAGGAGGAGGCCCGACGAAGACAATGCCGAGCCCCCCAGGCCACATCGGCGCCGATCGTGTCGCCGAAGGTAAAGATCGGGCTCCACATAAAGCCGCATCCCCGATGCATCGGCGATGCGGCGGGGCCCTCCGACCGCATCAGCTCGGATCCCGACTGAGGGGCCTAAGGAGTTGCCTCTCCTGGGGCCGTGTTCGACGCTCTGGCCCAGACATACATTCCGGGCGCATATGGCTCCTGAGAGCGGCACCGCGGCCAACGCGCGCGTGGACTGGACGATGCGCGGCCATCGCTCACGCGCACCTTGCGTCATCCAGGCGACGCGATGCTCCAGGCAGATGATCAGCGGCGGCCCGGTTTAAACATGCACAAATTTTCGAATATGCCGCGGTGTGGCAGCCACGAAAAGCACGAGGCGCCAAGGAGGGGCGTCCTGGTGGTGTGCCCCCCCTCGCTCGAGGACGCCCCGTGGCCCAACTCGGCGAAGCATCGCGGACCCACTCGCTGGAGGTGGCTCCCCTGGTGATGGTGGTGTCGCCTCGGTTTCCGCCTACGTGGGGGCACGAGCCCGTTTGGTATTCCGCGATGACGCACGTGACTGCACCCATCTCCCAACACACCCTGGTCACGTCAGCGTTCGCGCCAGAGCCGCCTGGGAATTGGCCATTCCGAAACATTCCCAAACGGCGCCAGCGCGGACCGCGACGTGACCAGCCCCATCCCCCGTCCCTCCCCACCCCCCGGGGTCACGCACTCAGCCGCCAGAATAAAACAACTGTTTCCACGGCCCTCGTAAACAAATGCGTGGCGCGGGCCAGAACTCAGCGCTTCCTCCTCCAACCTCCCATTTTCCGCTTCGGGAAAGGATTTAACCTTTCCCAAGAACTCCCCCCCCGGGTTTGGAGGAGCGTTTCGCGAGGGGTTTAAGTCGTCCAAAATGGCTTCGTCAAAGAAACCACAATTACTACGCTGATTCCGGTGTTGGCAACATCTTGGCCTGCTGGCAGGGGGGTTGCTAATCGGAACCTCCCTTTCCTTTGACTTTGATCGATCACCTCCAAAATTGGCCCACGTTGGCCCCCGATGCTCCAAACAATACCCCAAAATGGCCTACGATGCGCCCAGGAGGCGCCACGGGGCCCCCAAGAGGCCACGAGGGCCAAAAATGCCCCCCCCGAGGCACCTAATACGATTCGATACTCACCCGGTCGAAATAAACGTGGGTCCCATGGAGGCCCATCCGGAATGAAAGACCTTCTGGTGCGCGCCCGAGAACCCAGGGGTCAGGTTTCCCCGACAAAAAAAACAAAAGAAATCCCATGCGCGGGATTCGAGCAGGGGGCATGACCGTCTCAAACCTCGGAGCAGGAATGAAGTCTCAGCCGCGGGGGTGCTCCCGTGCGGGGTTCCACCCGCCCACGCCCCTGGCGCAACCAGAGGAGGAACAACGCGAGAGCCCATGTTGCACCCCTAACTAACGCGGCAAAGCCTTAGCAGTGGCTGCGCTGAAAGTGCGCTCGTATTTGCAAGGCAACTACTTGTTCTATCGCGTAGCGACTTGATCACTCATTTGCAGCTGTTTCAACCCCCATCGCGTTGCACTCTAGGCCCAGCTCCACGCGCCAGTACACGCCAGCACCAGCTGCGGCCAAGTGCTGCGGGGGGGCCAAACATGCATCGGGGAGGTGTTTACTACGGCCCCTCCTCTGATAGATCTCCGCCAACATGTCCCCAATATGCTCCCGGTTCGCCTCCAAATTGACCCCAAGAAACCCCACCCCAAGAGGCCCCCCAGAGGCGCCCGACATGCCTCCTCCATCCTCCTACCCCTGCCCCCCCTTCCCCGTTTCCCTGATCCCCCCCCTGTCCTCCTCCATCCCTCCTCCTCCTCCTCCTCCTCCTCCTCCTCCTCTCCTCCTCCTCCTCCTCCTCCTCCTCTCCTCCCTCTCCTCCTCCTCCTCCTCCTCCTCCTCCTCCCCCCCATCTGAAGGCCCCGAGATCCAAAGCGACGAAGAAAGGCATCGGGGGCGGCCAAGAGGGGGGCGTCCAAAAGAGGGGAGCGCAAATCATGGCCGGCGGCACGTGCGCGGCCCAGGGCCGGGGCCGGGGACGAGACAAGAAGAGGCGCCATGAAGCCTGGGGAGATATCATGGCCCCCGCCATGATATCCACCCCCCCCTCGACATCACCCCCCCTCTTGACCGCCCCCGAAGCGAGATCCGAGGCGACGAAAAAAGGCAGCATCGTGCCACGAAAATCGACGAGAGCCCGGGACCCCAGCGTTCTGCTCTTCAGCATGGCCTGTGGGCCCGCCCGACCGATCCGTGAGGGCCGGGGGTCCCGAGACAGGGCGAACAACAAATCTGCCGCTGCGGCCAAGAAGGCGACGCCAGGAGCACACAATGGAAGGAACCTAACCTCTCCAGCTTCCGTCAGGCCTGCACAGTGCCCACAAGAGCCGGAACGCAGCTGAACACAGGAGGGCGTGCAGGCAGCTGCGGAGCTCGGACGTGCAGAGGCAAGGTGCGGACGACGCTGCAAAGCCCTGGGAAAGCAGAGCATTGACAGCGCGAGCACCAAATCTGCAAGTGGCCGGGGCAGGGCCCTCACACGTCCTCAAAGAGAATGAGGCTCCTGCCCCGGGCCAGTCCAGCCTCCCCGGATGCAGGCTGACGCCACCCTTGCGAGGAAGAGAGAGAATGCACATAAACTGCCGGAGGGCCGCGCGAAATTCCGACAATTATGTGTTCATGTAAATGTCCGTCCGCCCCTTTTTCGGCCGCTCCTCCCCCCCTCTCCTCCTCTTGCATGGTGGCACAATTCGCTCAAATGGCATCCCCAATGTAGGCATCCCATCGCCAGCGCAGGCGTCCCCTGCCTAGCCGCCGACGCAAAATGCTTGCGCATGTGCCTAGCGCCTAGCCGTAGCATTGTCAGTCCGCCAGCTGCTGGAGAGCAAAACCAGTATCAATGCTACGCCAGTCGGGCGACGCTACCAGCGTGCTCGGAGGAAGCAAACATGCATTCACATAAACTTGCGGGGCTCCGCGCGAATTTCTTGGACCGGCGCGCGGAGTGCGCCACGGGCGACGCTGGAGGCGCTGCCAGGGGAGGGGGCCGAGCGCCGATCCGAGAAACCCGCGAAGAGCTCCGACAATTGCTGTTGATACCGCTTCTTCTTCTTCTTCTTCGAAACTTGGGCCAGGGCCACCGCAAGCAACACTCGAAAAGAGGCTCCTGCCCAGGCCAATCCCGCTGCGTGTCCAGGAGCACGGAGGTCTTCCAGCACCCGCCCAGGCTGCCATCCCCACCTCCACGGGGGGGTGGGGGTGGACGGTTTCTCCCAGGGCCGGAGGGGAGGGCGAGGAGGAGGAGGACGAGGAGGAGGAGGAGGAAGGGGAGGAAGCGGAGGAGGAGGAGGACGAGGAGGAAGAGGAGAAGGAAGAGGAGGAGGAGGACAGGGAAGAGGAGGAAGCGGAGGAGGAGGATGAGGAGGAGGAGGAAGCGGAGGAGGAGGAGGAGGAGAGGAGGAGGAGGAGGAGGAGGAGGAGGAGGAGGAGGAGGAGGAGGAGGAGGAGAGAGGAGGAGGACGGGTCGCCCCAGCCCTTCGGAGAAACCCTCCAGGTGGGGGGTGGGGGGGGGGGCGCTGGCGCCCAAGGCAGCGGCCAGCAGCGGCGGCCCGCAGCGGCGGCGGGGAACACAGCGAGGAGGAGGCAGGATGACGAGGAGGACGACGCGGACGAGGGCAAGGAGGAAACAACGGAGGAGAAGGACGACGACGACGAGAGGGAAGAGGAAGACGACAGGGAGGACGAGGAGAGAGAGGAGCGGGAGGAGAGGGAGAAGGAGATGGGCGGGAAAGTGCAGCTGGTCGGACGGAGCCCTGTCATGAAGATCTCGGATAATTATTGTGTAACTGCTGCAACGGCGCGTTCGTGCGGACAACTCCGAGACCGTGTGGACGCCCGAGCCGCGGGCAGAGCCGCCGTCGGTCTGCCTCCGCCAAGTTCGCGGGCATTGGCTTTCGCCGAGGGCGTGAGGTCAGTCCTTCGATGTCCCGACTGGAGCAACTCCGACGCCCTGACTTTCTGCGGGACGGGAAAATGACCACAGCCACTGCTTCTTGTTTGTGCCGCCTTCCAGCCGGCCGAAAAAGAAGCAGTGGTTGTGGTCATTTCCCTGGTGCCAAGCGTAACGAAAATGACCATACCACTGCTTCGCTTCTGCTGGCTGGAGGGCGGCAACACAAGAAAAGCAGTGGCTGTGGTCGTTTTCACGCCCCGTACTTTCTCTTTGCCCAGAGGTGGACAGAACCCCCCTTCAGCAAAACGCCCCGCAGTGAGAGTTGCCAGGGGCACTCCACGTGCGCACGGCACCGCACACTGGGTGCACCCCCGGAGGAAGAGCGAACCGACGTCGAGAAGCACCCGAAAGCATCCGGCAAGACGCATGCCGACTGGCTGGACCCACCGAGACTGCGCCGGTATACTCGAGTGCCGATGTCGAGAAAACCAGCTCAGACTCCCTCAGTCGACGTGACTGGATGTAGGAGGCGGCCTGGGGGTCTGAGCTGAAGCGGACCCCGGGAATCAACCAGGGGGAAGGATGAAGCCAAATGCGTTCAAGATCGGTCCCCTGACCCATCCTGGAGCCCATCTGGTGCAATTTTCCATCCTGGGGATCCGCTGTTGACAGTCCCGGGGCGAGAAAACGGCCCCCAGAGGCACAAACAATCAGGAGACCGCTCGCCGTTTGGGCCCCACCGCCAGCCCAAACGGCGAGCACACATCGGGCGTAGCCCGGCACGCATTTGGATGCCCACGCTTCGTCCTCGTACTACTCGCGGGCCCCCAGCACGGTGAGTGCGTTGACGGCGCCCGAAAACGGCCCCCAGAGGCACAACGAACACAAAAAAACGCCTTCCCGAACCGAGCCACAGGTCTTCCCGCCCCTCCTGCTGGCCAGAGCCAATGCTGAGCCACCTCGACCCCGAGCCGGCTCCAATGTTTATGCTGATGATCGCTCCTCGATGGCTAGGCTTTCGGGGGGTCTTGGGGGAAGCTCCAGAGACGAGCCCCCAACGAAAGGAGGGGAGAAGCATTGATTTGCCTGGCCGTCGGGCAAGGGGTTGTGATTAGCAAGAGAGGACCCCAAACATTTTGGGAGGGGACCTCGCAATTGCGGATAAGAGTGAAGGGGCGGGCGCGGGGTGGGTCGCGTGGGTCGCGGGCGAATCACGGGATGGTCGCGGGGAGGGTCGCGGGTGGGTTGCCTGTGGGTCGCGGGTGGGTCGCGCGTGGGTCGCGGAAGGATCGCGCGTGGGTCGCTGGTTGGTCACGAGGGGGTCGTAAAATGGGTCGCGGGCGGCTCGCGGGCGGGTCACAGGTGGGTCGCGGGCGGGTCGTGGGCGGGTCGCGGTGTGGGTCGCGGGTGGGTCGTGCGTGGGTCGCGGGTGGGTCGCGGTGTGGGTCGCGGGTTGGTCGCGGGTCGCGGGTGGGTCGCGGGTGGGTCGCGGGCCGGGTCGCGGAGTGGCTCGCGGGTGGGACGACGACAACGAATGACAAACAAGAAGAAACAACTACAAATAATGAGCGACAACAACATCAACAACAACAATAACAACAACAGCAACAACAACCACAACCACAACCACAACCACAACAACAACAACAACAACAACAACAACAACAACAACAACAACAACAACAACAACAACAACAATTACTAGCACGTGGGGACACTCCGTTCTCACCAGTGCCAGGGTTTTCATAGGAGGCGGGCAATACCCCCACTTTGTGGGGGGGCCGGTTCAAGCTCTACCAAATTTCCAAACGACTCTTCGCCACCACCCACACCCAGCTTCCCGCCCTATGACGTTCGGACACTTCACTTCGTGGCATGCGGACGACCGTGGCTACTATTCAGGGCCCCGCGGCCGACGACGACGGCGTGCGCGCGCGAAGAAAAAACGAATGTGTCCCGCATGGTATTATTTGACAGGGATGATGGCCCTGGCAGGTGCGCAACCGTTGTTGCAGAAGTTCGAAAAAGTTGCTCGCAAGAGCCCGTTTGACAGAAATGTTGAAAAAAGTATTGGGTTTCCTAAGAAGTCCGCAAGAGCGCGCGGGATGAATTTTTGAAACCTTTTTTGTTGGAAAACCATTGGGTTTTTCATGTCTTTATGTTAAAATCGCTACGAAAACTAAGGTTTTGGAAGGATTTCATCTTGCGCGCGCGAGTGTGCACTTCGTGTCATTTTTTGCAAAGGATTCTTGAAGTTTGGTTATGTTAGAACAAGACATGTCATTTTATATTGTTTTTTGACAGGGAAAGCGGGCGTCAACAAAACAACCGGATCCGGACTCCCCCGTTTTGCCTGAGACTTCCTCGCGAAAATGATGAAAATGTGGCTGCGGCCTAGGCGCGGCGAGGGGGGCGTGCACCAGGGGGCCCAACAATAATTATTCTTTAGAAGTAATAATATTCAACACCAACAACAACACTCATTTGAAGACTGCTCGCTCTTATCTGCTCGAGTGTCCGTTAACGCGTATTTCCAAAACCCTCGATATCCGCCCTCTTCGTCTTCGATCGTACCCCTGTTGGGGGGTATACCTTTCTTCCCGGTCTTCCCTGCAGGCCGGGCCCCGGCAAGCGGCGGGGCGGCCGCGGACCGTCGGCCTGGCCAGCGGCAGCGCTGATCGGCGGCAACCCGACCCCAAGAGGGACGGATAGGGAACCGACCACGACGACGACGACGACGAAGACGACGTCGACGACGAAGGCGACGACGACGACCGAAAGCGAGAGCGAGAGAGAGAACGACAGCAGGGCCGCGAAGGGCATGAAGTAGGCCACGAAGGGCGATGGCGGGGACCCAAAGGGAATGCGTATGGGGCCACGAAAGCGCGAACGAGCAGGGGCCGAGAAGGGAATACATATACGGGGCCACGAAGGGCAGCGAGGGGGCCACGAAGGGCTGCAACGGGGCCACAAAGGGCAGCGAGGGGGCCACAAAGCTGCAACAGGGCCACGAAGGGCAGCGAGGGGACCATGAAGGGCTGCAACGGGGCCACGAAGGGCAGCGAGGGGGCCACGAAGTGCTGCAACGGGGCCACGAAGGGCAGCGAGGGGGCCACGAAGGGCTGCAACGGGGCCACGAAGGGCAGCGAGGGAACCACGGAGGGCTGCAACGGAACCACGAAGGCCAGCGAGGGGGCCACGAAGGGCAACGGGGCCACGGAAGGCAGCGAGGGGGCCACGAAGGGCAACGGGGCCACGGAAGGCAGCGAGGGGGCCACGAAGGGCTGCAACAGGTCCACGAAGGGCAGCGAGAGGGCCACGAAGGCCTGAAACGGAGCCACGAAGGGCAGCGAGATCCCGATTCCTAAATAATCTGTGCGGGAGTCCTAAACGTGAACGCGACTCCTGGGTGCTGAGTGCCGGGAGCGCGGCGCTTGGGTAAATTGCGGGAAATTCCAACGCAAGGGCGCTATTCTTCAGTAAATTGCAAGCAAGTCTCCAGCGAGAGCGCGACTCCAGAGCGCCAAGAGAGCGATTCCTGAATAAATTGCAAGAGAAAGTCCCAAGCGAGAGCGCTACTCCTGTATTAAATGGAGGTCGCAGGCGGGAGCGGGGGTCCTGGCTAAATCGGGAGGACGTCTCAGGCGGGAACCATTGTTGTAACCCAGGGGCCAACAATTCGGTTTGAGCCTCAAGACGTCCCCTGATAAAATTATCCCGGCAAAGCAACCTAACAGCGATGTGTAGGAGCATATCTGGAAGCATTCCCCTTAAGATTCAGATGAGAATCCAGTTGTAGAATTCTGCTGTTCTCACAGTCGTAGTCGCATTCGCGATGCCAGTCGCAGTGGCAACGGCAGTCGCAGTCACAGCCTCAGCCTCAGCCTGCCTCAGCCTCAGCCTCAGCCTGCCTCAGCCTCAGCCTGCCTCTGCCTGAGCCTCAGCCTGCTTCAGCCTCAGCCTCAGTCTGCCGTCGGCCTCGGTCTCAGCCTGCCTCAGCCTCAGCCTGCACCAGCCTCAGCCTGCCTCAGCATCAGCCTGCCTCAGCCTCAGCTTCAGCCTCAGCCTGCCTCAGCCTCAGCCTCAGCCTGCTTCAGCCTCAGCCTCAGCCTGCCTGCAGCCTCGGCCTCAGCCTCAGCCTGCCTCAGCCTGAGCCAGCCTCAGCCTCAGCCTCAGCCTCAGCCTGCCTCTGCCTCAGCCTCAGCCTGCCGCTGCCTCAGCCTCAGCCTGCTTCAGCCTCAGCCTCAATCTGCCTTCAGCCTCGGCCTCAGCCTCAGCCTGCCTCAGC